GTAACCCCAGTACTTTGGGAGGCCGAGGCGGGGATCACCTGAAGTGGGGAGTTCGAGACCAGCCTGACCAACATGGAGAAACCCCACCTCTGCTAAAAATACAAAATTAGTCGGGCGTGGTGGGGCATGCCTGTAATTCCAGCTCAGCTGAGACAGGAGAATTGCTTGAACCCAGGAGGCGGAGGTTGTGATGAGCCGAGATCATACCATTGCACTGCAGCCTCGGCAAAAAAGAGTAAAACTCCTTCTAAAAAAAAAAAAAAAAAAAAAAAAAACTATTTTTTAACATAGTACCTATAGTTCCATATTTATAGTTTACTAGCTATATAATAACATCTCAAAGTTTTAGAGTAGGAAAAAATTGAAATGATTTTTGCTTATGTAAGAAGTAGATAAACGCTGAAGCATAAAAAGTAAAAAAAAAAAATAAAGGGTATATCCTTTTAGACTTTTTTATAAGTACATACACTCATATATTAATGTCTAAATATTTATATGTTAGCTATTTCTTAAAAATACATATACATTTACATACATGTATAACGTTCTCTACAAACATAAGAACATAAACATTACTTTGAAATTTTTCATCATGTTACAATAGATTATAAACATTTCTCTAAGTCAGAGTGCATATGTGTGTATATTTTTTTAATAGCAAAAAAAAGTTGTTGTATTAATCATCCATTTACTTATTCAATAATTATCTATTAAATCTATTAAGAATTATGTGCTATGCACTATTGTAGACACTGGGAATATGTAAGTAAACAAAAGACAAAAATCCCTGCCCTCATGGAGATAACATGCTGGTGGGAGAGAAAGGAAGGGGTTGTGGGACAGGGAGGAGGTTAGAAAATGTACCATAATATAGCTAATCAATTCCTATTGAGAGGCATTCATGTTGTCATTACTTTTATTTTATTTTATTTTATTTTTGAGATGGAGTTTCACTCTGTTGCCAGGCTGGCATGCAGTGGTGCGACCTTGGCTCACTGTAACCTCTGCCTCCCGGGTTCAAGTGATTCTCCTACCTCAGCCTCCTGAGTAGCTGGGATTAAAGGCGTGAGCCACCACGCTCAGCTAATTTTTGTATTTTCAGTAGAGACAGGATTTCACCATGTTGGCCAGGATGGTCTCCATCTCTTGGCGTCATGATCCACCCACCTCTGCCTCCCAAAGTACTGGGATTACAGGCGTGAGCCATTGCGCCCGGCCTAAATTTATTTTTTATTATTTCTTTAAATTGACAGATAAAATTTTATGTACTTATTGCGTATACTTGAAAATATTATGTTTTCAATTATGTATACATTGTGGAATGACTAAATCTAGCTAATTAGCATTTTTTCATCCTATAAACCATGTTGTAATAAATATCTTCGTTCACACTTTTCCGTTCACTGTTAGAAATAATCCTGGGATTTAAATTCCTAGAACTGAAATTACTGAGTGAATAAATATAAGATTTTATTATTCTAATAGATATTAAATTTTTCTTCAAAAACTTATACCATTTTATAATACTTCAAACAGCACATGAAGTGTGTTTTCTCTCATGCTTATTTAAAATTTTTTTCAATTCTGCCAACCTTAATGGGCTCACTTCTTTACCCTCAGTAAGGCTGAGCATCATTCATAGCTACATATGTTATTTATATTTCCTCTGTAAGTAAGTTATCGGATGCTTTACTTATTTTTCTATCAGGTTATTTTTCTTATTAATTTGTAGGGCTTATTATGTGTTTTGGCTATTAGCCCTTTCTTATAGTGGCTGTAAATATATTTCCACTAGTTTATTATTTGCATTTTAAATTTTCTTATTATACTTGTCACCATACAAGCATTTTCATCATTATGTACTCAAATACACAAATATTTTAGGGATTCCATGTAGGCTCTCACTGCCACAGTAGTTTTTTTCTTCTAGTTGACATTTAGAGTTTTATCCATCCTTTCAACAATTAGAAAGTTAAAAGTGGTGAAGGACCATTAAACCAGGTGGATAAACTGGGACCAAAAGCACCATAATTCCAGTTACTACTGCACTTATAGAAATCTGTCAAAATTCCTTTCCAGGAGACACACTGATTATAGCTTACAAATAGACATTTACCTAACTATAATTTTCCAATTTTTAGAATAAGATACTGAATTCCATGGTAACTGATTCCTCCATTAACTATTAAAATTAAATAGTTATCTAATTTGCTGGTTATTCTCTTAATCAGCTCTTCTCAAAGAATCCCTTCACATACTGTCTTTCAGGGAAAATATTGAGATATGCCATTAAAATCTTAAAATGGCAATATTTTTCTAATTTATTAGGAAAATAAGATTTTTTCTAAATTTAAGATTTAATATTTTCCTCTATGATTTTTCTAAATTTAAGATTTTCCTCTATGATTTTTTCATCAAGCTTTGACACCTCCTATTTCTTATCTACCAAAAGCACTGCACTGTCAAATGACAAAATAAATATAAAAGGAAAAATTATTTTAAATAAAAGATAAAATATTCAATAATGATTATTGTAAAATGGTCTCCTTGTTGGTATACATGATTTTTTACTTTTGGTTTTCATTATGTTTATATAATATAATCATATTTTCTGCAGGTAAAAACTATTCCTACTTCAAAGAGGATACCTAAACATTCAGGTGTTCTTCTATAGATGCAAGTTTAGAATCACAGATAAAAATAATTTGATTATTGTATTTGCTTTAGATTCTGTTTCCTATAAATTAATAACAATTGAATTGCCAATATGAACATTTTATTTATCTTTCCGTCATTTCACAGTTATATTTCATATTTTGTGTAAATATTTTCAAGTAATGATGGCTTACCTTAATTTAAACAGAAATTCCTAGAATTTTAAATTCTTAATTTAAACAGAAATGTATAGAAACTATTCTAAACATTCAATAATCATTTGTGAATGATTAATAAGTTCAACGTATTCAAAGTATTTTAAGGGTTCAAAACAAAAGGCTCAGACTTTTAAGTTATAAGTATCAGGAGGTCAGTTTGGAGGCAGTGAGGTAAGATACAAAATCAGACTCAAATCTTACCTGAAAATGATGTTTATAATGTACTCTCAAATGGGTGCACAAAATCAATAATGGTGTGTGTGTGTGTGGGTGTGTGTGTGTGTTTGGTGTGGGGGGTGGGGGTGTGTGTGTGTAGGGGGATTGTGTGGAGGGGTGTGGGTGTGTTGTGTGGGTATGGGTGTGTGTGTGGTGTGGGGGGGGGGGGTGTGTGTGTAGGGGGATTGTGTGGGGGGGTGTGGGTGTGGGTGTTGTGTGGGTATGGGTGTGTGTGTGTGTGTGTGTGTGGTGTGGGGGGGTGGGGTGTGTGTGTAGGGAGATTGTGTGGGCGGGGTGTGGGTGTGTGTGTTGTGTGGGTATGGGTGTATGTGTGTGTGTATTGAAAGAGAAAGGGAGAGTTGGGGAGAAGGGGAGAAAGAGAAGTGCATGCTAACAACTGATGAATCTAGGTAATGTTTGTATAAAAGATCACTGTACCATTAAAACTTTCCTGTAAAACTGAATTTTTTTAATGAAAAGTTTCAAAACTTCATTGAGAAAAATAAGAACGCATATACAGCTTTGGTCTTTTCATTCGGGCAAATCCATCTCGGGTACAGTGCATAAAGTTATGCTCCCCTTTAAACCGTAGCTTTTGAACCTTCAGATGAAATAATGGTAAAAGGAACTCTCCCCACCACTGCCCACTGTCATCTCCACTCCCACTGCCCAGCCAACCTGCTCCAAGTTCGAAAAATTAACCTACGGTTTCGAGCATGACATTCTTTTGGATAAAGTGTTAAGTTTTAAGTACTATTGCTACACAGATGAAAAAGTTGTGCTAAAGAGAGAATGGGGGCACAGTTACAATTCTATTATTTATAAAGCAGTTAAGCACTTAATTTTTAATAAAGACTGAAAAAAACTCTCCAGCTCTAAGGAATGTTCTAAGTAAATTAACAACTTATCAATGAGTGATATAAATGTAGCTAAATATTAATAGCAAATGAACAGGAAGACTGATTTTATACCAAAGTTTTCTTTGTAATATGATAATTCATAAATTGTTTTTTCTTTTCCTATAAGCATTTTTGAGAAATCTAGCTTGACCAATATCCATATTATAATAATAGCATAGATTCCTATTTTTATAGACTACATTTGGATTTCTGATTCATCAGGATATATTACAAGGATGCTAACTTTTAGAACCCTTTCCTCCTAACAGCTAGCAACTCAGATCCCAAATCCACAAGCAAGAGACATACTCTCAACTACCTAGTGAATCAAGGCAGACAATGTAGGCAATTAAGCAGGACAGGTAGGACCTGTGGAAACTAGCAAGCTCCTGACACAACTAAAAATCTATTTTACTTCCAGCTTATTGTTGCCATGGCAGAGTGTAGGATCAGAATTAGCAGATATCCTCACTTTTCAAAAGGAATTTGAAATATGGACTATATACAAAACTTCCTAAAAATTCATAAGGTTAATATCCTTTAAAAAGTTTAAAACACCCAGTAGCCAAACAAAAACCTCTTAAACACTTCTACCAGTATCATCAATTTGCAACCTCTGCCTTAAAGCGGCAGTTCACTTAAAAATCCAAGTTCTGGTTCAGTGACAGAAAAAGGCATACATTAATTTAGCCGATTTCTTTTTTTTTTTTTTGCATTCCACTTAATCGGTGAAACTAATATCTTATTTGAATCCATCTCTTTATATTTAGTTTCCAAAAATAATTCCATAAAAGCTAATCTTAAAAAATCAATTCTTTCAAGGAAAGTTCCACTAGGTTAATGGTAAATCTTTAAACTTAACTGATTCTGTATACAAAAAGTCAGGAAAATTATTTTCAACTTACCTGGATTTAAAGAAAAGTTTTTTTTTCATCCCAAGCATAACAAAGCACAAAAGAGAGATACAGTTACCTATTTTGCATCCATTTTTTTTTTTACTACAAATACTCACCTAAGAATGCATAAACAAACTGTGCCTCCTGATGTGAGTCTGCAGAATCCAAATCTCTGCTTACTTTCAATGTCTGTCAGTACAAAGGTAAAGTGCTGTCCAACTTGATTCTGAGACACCCTAAAATACAGTCACGTTATGAAACAATATGTCTTGTGTGACAATTTTCTTCAAGAAAAACAAAAGCAAGAATATATTCGTAAGTGACATTGGTTTCATCTTTCTAATCAGCTGGTTCTTGAAGCTAGCACAGTGTTCCAAAACTAAAACAAGTGTGAAATATGTAAGGTAAACAGCAAAATAAGTTGCAATATCTCATAGACCGAAGAGTTCAGCACATATTAATCTCTCACTAGGAAATCATAAGGTAGTCTGCCATAAATTTTCATGACTAAAAGTGCTCATATTTCATAAATTATCAAAATATTATTACTGAAACTGTAGAAGTAAGAAGCTAGACATGATGACTAAGTCTTTTTCTTCAACTCTAGCCTTTTTCCTAATTATCCTAAAATTGCTTAGATAGCAAATCATGTTGCTTTAGAATCTAATGGCAACCACCACCAACAACTCTGTTTAATTGCTTCTCCTGTTGGCATTCTCACCCAATAAAGTACCCTACAAAAATACTCTTGGTATTTTTTTCCAGAATTCTCTTGTAGAGGTATCAATATAATACTGAGGAATAAATTTCCAAGTACAAAATAAGAATATAATTTCTACCAAAGTAAAAAAAAAAGCTTACTGGTTAAGCTATAAAGAATTTTAGTCAGCTTATCATACTACCATAATATGTGTCACACTTTGGTATAAGGGGCAATATAAAACATTAGATTGAATCTTTATTTCTATTTAAAATATATGAATATATTTCCCAGTACTGGCTGTAATCTTGCCATTAGATAACCATAACTGAACTTTTGCTTCCTTGTCCCAAAATAAAATATCCATGAAGCCTAAACTTTGGTTTTGAAATAGTCATAGGAATTGTGCAGAAGGAAACAAATTACTGCCAGTATCCAGTATCAATGCTACAAACAGTTTTGTAAGGAAATGTTGCATTGCAAATGCTGAACATTTAACAAACACACTTTTAGGTAGAAAGGTTTTCTTACACTTTAATGAACCTAAAAAACAAAACAACATCCTCTAGTGACAAATGTGACCTCTAGTGCCCAAGGTTCATAATATCCTTTTTGTAGCTGGATCCTAAATCTTCCTTTATGTTATCATTACTATTAACGTGAAATTTGTAACTTTTTTAGTGGGGCGAGGGCTTTAAAGATAAAGCCTACTGAATACTTACTAGTACTGATTAGTCCATCATTCAGAAGACTTTATCTTTAATACAGTAAAATCAAAAAGTCTCACTAATATTTACTTGAGCAAGGTATTTTCCTAAAATATTCTTTCTAAAAGCCTTCATATCACACTCTTAAAAAAAACTTATAATAGAGTCTAAAAAAATCACATGAAAAATAATAAATGATCTGCTGTTATGCTCAAAGGGCTATATATTCCATGAAATTTCAACTGTATGCAATGTCATCATTCAGTATTTGTTCAGTGAAATATAAAAATAAGATTTTCAAAACTAGAAGAGTTTCCCCATAGCCCTCCATAATTCTATCAATTCTATGAAGCTATTCTTGAGAAACAAGTAGACATGAGTTTTACATGACACAGATGGTCTTTTCAATTAGGATGAAGTGAGATAGAAACCAGGAAACATACATTAAGACATAATTCTAAGGCTCTGATCAAGGTCATACTAATATTTTTTTTTCCACTAGTGCTCACAATTTCTACCTGAAGAATAGAGAACAAAGGCAAAACATAGAACCTATTGGCAATAGTGTTTTCAGACTTGTCTTAACTGGTCGTAGTAGAGAAAATAAAAGATGTGATTTTAAAAGGCTTCCTCTTCCACATATTAATTAATTTTCAATCTCTTTTCAATCTCTAGTATTTTTGTGAGAAGCAGTAAAGAGAAGGTACATTTTATTTTATAAAAAAGCACATTTAGTCATTTTAAAGTATGTACTACAATTAGCTAAATTTATTTAAATGATACTTATACTGTACCTTTCAACGTCAAAGGGAAAACAGAACTTTGGCACACTCTGTAGTATTTCCTACAAATGGAAATTTTTAAACAAATAAGTTTTAGAATATTTTTTAAGATGAAGTTAAAACTTTTTTGAGCTATTTTCTAGGAAAAAAAAGTTACTTTCTTTGTCCTTAAGAGAAATAGCACAGGTTCCTAGACTAAAATAATTGATTATTAAAAAGGAATTAAGTTTGTGCTTTGGCAGATTGCACTGACAATGCCACAGAAACCCCAGGGGGGAAAGGCCTGGCCTGAAGGGTATTAACACCCTTCACATCCCCGCTGGGATTCCCTTCAACAAGGCCATATGGATTTTACAAGAAGCACCGCACCATATGGGTAAGCTACGTCTGCTGCTACTTGTACCGCAGTCTAGCCATAGGGACTTCTGACAGATCCTGGCTCAAAAATATAAATGTTGTTTCAATTAAAATGCAGGCAGAGAAAAGGGAATGAAGTTGGCAGCAGAATGAATTACCGAGAGGTATAACAACTCTACATGTACCATAGTCAAACAGTTTAAAAAAAAAAAAGAGAGAGAAAGACTTTCTATAGCCAAAGAAACATATTTACATGATTCAACTCTTGGTATTAAGTTTTATCTTAACACTCTTAGAGAAATAATGTATCTAAAAACAAGCTTTCAAAAATACAGCTTCTATTCTGTGCACTTTCATTTAAGAATTGCCTAATGTGAAAATCAATGCTTTAATAAAACACAGAAAATAATCTGAATGATTTTGAAACCTTTAATTATTTTACAGTCATGAAAAATAATTTAAATATCTTTTAGAAACCATACACATTAACAACTATAACATACAAATAATTATCAGCTAAAAATCTATTCTGATATATTTGAAAAATAACTTAAAATTAAGTCTGATTCAAAAGTTAAATTTTAAACTTGAAGACAACATTATACAACTTCAAAGTCAGGCAATTTTCCAAGACAAAGAGTTTTATAAGGATATTTCCTATTGAAAAGAAAAAAGAGCAAACATCCAGCCATCCTCACTGAACAATATTTTCCCTACCACCTCTTTGCCACTAAAACAAAGGTCTACAGAAATTATCAATATCCGAATATTTAAACCCCATATATAAATATAGCATTGAGTGTTTTAAAGTAGAATTTCTTGCATTGTTTTAAAAAGGTAGACTACAATAAAGTGTCAACTAAAAATAAAGCATTATAAAATTTCAATACTAATACCTAAGAAAGCTTCAAGTGCCTTAACGCACACAAGCAGAAAGAAAAGAATCTTGTTAAAAACAAAAAAACAAAACAAACAAACAACAAAAATCTTCTCCTAGGGCAGGATACCCTGAATTGCTTATAATCATGTACCTTTAAAAGTATGAGCACAGACTCCATAGTAAGAGAAAGCCAACTGTTTCACTACTGACAATATTTTGTTCAATGTAGTTAAAAGGGTCACTAAACTTGCCATAAGTTAAATTCCGCAAACTGAGAAACAGCTTATTGCAAATGAGATCAGTTCATTTTCATTTGACCATTGCTTAATCCTTATCTTGTGCTTCATAAAGTGAAACCATTCACCATTTTTACTATACATGTGAACACCATTCAGAACTCTTCCTGTAAAACTGTCCACATAATTTCTATAACAATAAAGAATATATATTCAAAATGCAATGTCTGCCTCTAAATACACAAATCAGTAATATATTTCACATTAATTTTAAGACTCAAATTACGAAGAATGCTTCCCAGTTAGTTGCCCAATCTTTCACGCCCTCCCCCTCCCTTCTTCCACAAGTAACACACATGCACACAGTTCTGCAAAACAGCCTCAGCTCGCTTCCCAACTGGCAGAAGCATCCCTCAGGGGACAAGTCTTTAAACCTCCGCACTCTTTAAAATTCAGCCAGCCAGCAGGTCTATAGACTAGTGTATAAACAGTATAGACAAAAAAAAAAATCCTCTCTCAGCTTATGTCAGTGACAAAGCAGCTCAGCAGTTGACTGTTTCTCCCCTGACAGTATAAACTGGGTTTATACAGATCAATAGCTGGAAGTCCTACCTAGCTCCCAGGGCTTGGTTTTCTTCCTTAATTACAGGTGCTATTGAAACTGAAGTGTAAAAAGAAAAGAGAGAGGCTTGGAGGGAGGCATAAAATGCATGCAAATAGCTTTTATGGATCCTCTTAGCAATAGTATTAATTGAAAATTCTACTTCTACATTTATTACAAAAGCATTTATAAAGACTGGTATTTTCACTACGCAGTATTTTTAATATGACACATACACAAACAGACACACAAAATTCTAGGTTAGCAACCACGGATTATGTGAAAGGTTTAAGTCAATACTCTACAGAAGTTATCAGTTTCTCCTTTTTCTACAGACTTTTGCTTTTAAAGAATATTTCTTAGCCGAGAAAAATTATTTGGATTTCAGAATCCTCCTAACTCTCCAAAATATTTTATTTTTGTGCCAAAAGATTATATTGGCCAACACATGTAAAATGATAAAAACAGGAATAACAAACAAAAAGAATGGATGAAATAGAACACACAATTATGGACAGCAAAATGAAAGAGGCAATAATACATATTTCTGTGTATGTCCTAAAAAAGCACATCTACTACCGTATTAATGACTGGAAACAAGGACTGATGAAAATTCATCTGTTGGGGGTTTTTTGGTTCCATGCCAGTGTATCTCTAGTAATAAGCATTACAATGAAATTGATCTTGTAAGAGAAAAGAGAGCCAATTGCTAGTGTTATAGTGGTATATTAATTATTTATCCCATCAGGTTACCATTTAGCACCATAAATTGATCAACTGAAAAGGAAAACAAGCATTTAATAAATAATTTACATTTTTTAAAAAAATCACTAAAGTTTACATCTTGATCAAAGTTCTTAGAATTTCTTCTTAGAACAAAGGTCTTTGAATATCTGAGAAAAATGTAAGATAAAATGAGATGTGTTATTGGTGATATCAGTAATTGTTTTTCCTCCTCAACCACTTTGTCCTCGACTCTACACTGAAATTCTGGTGTTCTCTGAAATTCCAGTTTCTTCTCTTCCCGACTCAATAAGACATAGCTGTAAGCAATCCTATCTACACCCATAGTTTCAACTACAACTAGGAAATCTCTTAGTTTTGTACTTTAGTTATTTCTCCAGGATTATGGCTCTAACTACTTTCTGGTATCACTTTCCAAATGTTCCCAGACACCTCTAACGAAGAATGTACAAAACTGAAGTTGTTCTTTTAGTTATGGTCCTTAACACCTAAACTGGCAGCACCACATACCTAGTTACCCAAATCAGAAACGTGGTAGTTACCTAGACCCCTCCTTTTCCCTGACCCCCACATATAATTAATCACTCACCAAGTCCTTTCATTCAATTTCAAAACTATCTTGCTCCAGAGGTTCTCAATGGAGGGTGGAAAGGATTAGAAAGAAGATGAGAAGGTGTTAGAATCACTTGGGAGTATTTTTCAAAACACAAATTTGATTGCCTACATTGTAAACCCACAAAGATCCTGAATCTTCAGTTTGAATAGCACCTATAATTAAAGGGTATCTATATCAGTTAAGGGTACTTAATGTATATAAGGAAAAGTTATACTCTCATAGCAAGAAGTGACATGGATGACTTGTTCAGGATCTGTTTAATTCAACATCTACCTCATGGACTCAAGAGTCTTCTCTCTTGCCCTGCTGGGCTAAATTTGCTGGCTTTTTCCTCAGCTATCTCTACTCATGATCACAAAATGAGCTTCCAGAGTTCAGCACATCCCAACGAGATACAGCAGTGTTCAGTGAAATAAGCCTCTCTTCTGTCAGTCTTACCGGTGAGGAAACCTTTCCCAGAAGTCTGATCCCTGACTTTCCCATTACATTTAATTAGCCACAGGGCCATAAGCCACTCCTAAACTAATCCCTGGCAAAGGAAATGGTTATCTGTGTTCAGTTTAGCCTTAGACTAGTTAGAGTAAAATTCTGAATTCAACCCATTCATCTTCCAATAACCATGACCCATGTAATTACAGAGAAAAATAAGTGAAGTATCATATTTTGAGAATCCTTATAATCATATCAAATAATTACATTTATAGTAAAGTTCTCAATAAAAATATTATACAATATCATATGAGGATGATTTTTAAATGTCTATAATTTTATTCATGTGAATAACACTTTCAGAATCATTTTGTACAATTAAACAGGCTACTTGTCCACTTTAATCTAACTTTTCACAAAGGCCATAAATTTCTAAAAATATGATTACTTAATTTTGAATATTATCTCCCAAATAAGTGAGAATTACCTAATACTATATATTCATTCAATTTATTTGTGCTTTACACAAGAGAGTAACAAACTTAACAAAAAATAAATAAATAAACTGAGCTATTTAAAGCAGGTTTCATTGCATGGCACAGAACTGAGATTCCCAAACAGCACTTAGATGTTCCAGGACACCATAGCAAGCTCTCAAGGTTACTGTGAGATATTTAAATTTTCAAGGGAAACAAATCTATATTAACAGGGTGACTTAGTCAAGGTGCATTTTATAGAGATGACTATATTAATGTGTCAAATTACAGGCATAGCCTATCTTTTATCTTTTAAGATGTGTTCTACTCCCACTTATGAGTGAGAACATGCAGTATTTGGTTTTCTGTTCCTGTATTAGTTTGCTGAGGATGATGGTTTCCAGCTTCATCCATGTCCCCTGGAGAATATATTTTTCAAACTTAGAGCCAAAAAGGAACTGTCAGGACAACTATGCCCAGTGTGGAATTTTTCTCTTGGATTTTACTTTTATATAGTGTTTTAGTTAGAAATAAATCTCTTTTACCCCTCCTCCTTAAATTAGGGAAAGCACTCTAAGTCTGTGAATTCCAACACTAAAACTACTTAGGTTGTTGAATCGGATCAAGCTATTTGTCACTATCAAGAATTTAAAATAAATTTCTACTATTAGAATATTAAAATAACTGCCATGAAGCAAATACATTCTGCTTTAAAAAGAACTG